ACCTTATTTTACAATACAACTATTGAATACCAACTCAACTCATCATATGGTTTCCTTATTTCTGGATTATAGCAGTGAGTTGTTTTCCTTTGACAACATAATTAACCTCTTAATAATGTGTAGTAAATAGAAAGGTTGTGATCGAGAAAGAAGCAAAATCCAACATCACCAACCACCTAAGATGATGCCTTTTAATGACAACTTAATTGGTCTTCAAAGCCAAACACTCTCAATCTTAGACTCTGCATTTTCCTAATCAGATATAAGTGTCATAATTTTGACATATTAATTAGGAAGATGCTCATTAAGATTGCTAAATTGTGTCTATTGTTGAGAAACCTCAAGGACTAGAAGAAAAACAGTATGCATTCCATTGAAGAAGATGAATAGAGTTTATGTGTTTACAGGCTGAAAGAAGAGATGAATGTATCAACTTGTCTACAGCTTACACATCATAGGCTATATAGACAAGCCGTTATAACTGCCAAGAGAAAAAAGAAAGACTAATAGACCCCTGACTTATTAAGCTAAGAAAGAAAGCAAAAGCAGAGAAGAGCTGAACTTGGACTGCTGCAAGCTGCAAGTTTGGTGCATTATTTGAGATGTTGAGAGGATTGAAGATATGACTGAGCTGTGCATTACTTCATCACCCCCCCGTAAGCTGGAGCATGAAGATCTTGAAGGCCCAGCTTATCATGGAACTTGTCAAACAAGGGCTTAGGCAAGGCTTTTGTGAAGCCATCTGCAGTCTGATTCTGGGAAGAAACAGCAAGAAGTTTGACAACCCTTCATTGATCTTTTGTCTAACCACATGACAATCAATCTCAATGTGTTTAGTGCGTTCATGGAAGACAAATTTCTCACCAATAGCAATGGCAGAGTTGTTATCACAATACAAAGTTACTGGAGTAGAGAATGTTGCCTTCAAATCTGCTAACAGAAATAACAACCACTGTACCTCACAAGTTGTGGATGCTAGGGCTCTGTACTCTGCCTCAGAAGATGATCTAGAGATTGTAGCTTGCTTCTTTGGTTTTCCATGAAATCAAAGAATTGCCAAGAAAAATACAATATCCTGTCACAGATTTCCTACTATCCCACACAAGTTGCCCAGTCTGAGTCTGAAAATCCTTGCAATTTCATAAGAGAATTAGAAGGGTAGAACAAGCCTTTTCCAGGTGCTCCTTTTAGGTACCTTAACACCCTATGAGCTGCTACCATATGAGTGTCTCTTGGCTTCTCCACAAATTGACTTAGCTGCTGGACTGCATAAGAGATGTCAGGTCTAGTATTGGTTAGGTACAAGAGTTTCCCAACTAACCTTCTGAAAACTTCAGGTTGTGTGATGGGAATCCATCAGTGTTGTTCAGTTTCTGTCCTGTGACAGCAGGAGTCTAGCTGGCTGGCTTCCAAAAAACCATGTTCTTTTAGGATCTCCAAAGCATATTTCCTTTGGCAATGTTAATTCCAGCATCAGTTCTTAAAGGCTTCAATGGCCTAAGAAATAATTCAAGTTGCCCAAGTCTTTGATCTTGAAATCTCTATCCAGTGACTGCTTCAAATATTCATTTGAACAGAATTATTTCCTGCCAAAAGGATATCATCAACATACACCAACAAGGCAATGAAAGATGTTCCTGTTTGTCTAGTAAACAAAGAGGGATCTGCAGAAGATTGTTGGAAGCCATACACTTGTAAAGCTTTAGTCAACTTGGCATTCCATTGCCTACTTGCCTGTTTAAGGCCATACAGGGATCTCATGAGCTTGCAAACCTGATTTGGCTTCCCATTCTTAAAACCAGGGGGTAATACCATGTAGACTTCCTCCTCTAAGTCACCATGTAAAAAAGCATTGTTGATGTCAAGTTGCTGAATGTTCCATCCCTTAATAGCAGCCATAGCCAAGAAGGTTTTGATTGTGGTCATCCTAGCCACAGGTGAGAAAGTCTCAATGTAATCAACACCTAATTGTTGAGTATAACCCTTTGCAACCAGCCTGGCCTTATACCTCTCTATAGAGCCATCTGCTCTATGCTTCACTTTATACACCCATCTACAACCAATGGGGGTTTTACCAGCTGGCAATTCTGTTAAGATCCAAGTTTTGTTCTGGTTTAAAGCATTTATCTCAGCTTCCATGGCTTGTCTCCATTCCAAATGCAACACATACTTCTTGATAAGATTGTGGTTCCTCAGAGGAAGAAATAGCAGCTGCACACATTCTATGATCAGGAGATAAGTTTTGGTAAGAGATGAACTTCTCTAGAGAATGGGGAGAAGTTCTGGCAATGGTGATGTTGGATGTGGTAGTCTGACAAATATAGTCTTGTAACTTTGAGGGAACATTTCTTGTTCTTAAAGATCTCCTAGGCTGCTGTTGATCAGCCTGATTGTCAGTGTCTCTGAAATCATTCTCAGAGCAAGAGTGTGTGTCATAAGCATGACTAGGACCAATGGAATAGTCTCTGATCTGTGAGAGTTCCACATGAATGTCTGGTGTTTGCTGATTCTCTTCCACATGAATGTCTGGTGTTTGCTGATTCTCTAGCTGGACTTCTGCAGATTGGTCATTCAACAAAGTATCCTGACCATTCCACTCTCATTATGTTTTCCAGCCTGGTCCAATGTACCAAAGTTTGCTTCAATATATGTTGGGACCAAAGGGAGAGAAGGTCCAAGGCTTTCTGGTGTAGCATTGCTAGAACCAGTCCCTGAGTATCCTTCTTTGAAGGGAAAAATATGCTCATGAAAAGTCACATTTCTGGAAATAAAAACAGCTCTGTCAGTCATATCAAACACCATATACCCTTTTATATTAGCAGGAAATCCCAAGAAAATGCATTTCTTGGCTCTTGTTTGCATCTTGTTCCTCCCTTGTGAAATAGTAGCTGCAAAGCATAGGCATCCAAAAGATCTCAAGTGATTGTAATCAACATCTTTTCTATATAACATTTGGAAGGGAGACTGGCCATCCAGAACCTCAGTGGGTAACCTGTTTATTAGATAAGATGCAATGCAAAACACAATGACCCCAAAAGCTGTCAACAAGTCCAGATTGAAACTTCAAGGCCCTAGCTATATTCAAAATATGTTGATGCTTCCTTTCCACTACCCCATTCTGCTGGGGAGTATGTACACTATGACCTTTGATGGACAATCCCTTTTTCATTATAGAAAGCTTGCATCATAAACTCACTCCCATTATCAGTTCTGACAGTCTTAATTTTGGCATCAAAGTGAGTGAGGACATAATTATAGAAGTTATGAAATGTGGATCTGACCTCTGACTTATGTTTCATTAAGTGTAGCCAAGTGTATCTGCTATAATCATCAACAATTGTTAAGAAATAATGTTCTCCATTAAGAGAAGCCACAGAAAATGGTCCCCAAATATCCATATGGATTAGATCAAAACATTTCTCAGATTTATTATTGCTAAGAGAAAAGGAGCTTTCTTATGTTTGGCAAAATAACATGTGTCACAAGCTGATCCAGAGGCAGTACATGGTGAGATTTTCACCCCTTTCAACATTTGCATCTTATTCATTGGGTAATGACCCAGCCTATTGTGCCATATCTCAGCAGAAAGACTACTACAAGTCATTACATTGGAGTCATTAGCAGACTGAACAGAATGGACCTTCTTCCTGATAGGAGGGTTGGAGAGCAGATATAATCCTCCCTTTTCTTTAGCAAAACCATCCACCCTCCCAAGATGGCCCTGAACATCACAGCAATCAACCCTTATAATAATTTCATATCCTGATTCTCTTACCAGCTTGCTAGCAGAAACAATATTAAAGGAAAAAGATGGAATAAACAACACATTTTTCAACATCATATCCATGTGAAGTTTAATATTCCCAATGTGAGTAACATCAACTGTTTCCCCATTGGGCAGCCTTACTGATACTCCATGAACAGCATAATGAGATTCAAAGTAGTCCAAAGAACTAGTGATATGATCAGTTGCACCAGAATCTAAAATCCAAACATCAAGAGAATTTAACACAGTATTGATATGAGGATTAAAGATGAACTTGCCTTCATTATGTTTCTCTGCAACCTTCCTGGAATCTGAATTGATTCCAGTGTTAGATAATGTCACAGCATTATTAGATGAATGACCCCCTTGGCTTTGGCTCTGCAACAGACTCACAAGCCTTTGAAACTGCTCAGCAGTAAGGCCTACATCTCCAACTTGGTTCACAGAAGCAGGCTGAGTCTCTTGAGCTTGTTTATCCTTAGACTTATAACCTGGAATCCACCCTGGTGGGAAACCATGCTTCTTGTAACATTTTTCAATCGTGTGCCCTAATTTCCCACAGAACACACACTTAGGAACATTCTTTCCAGAATTATTGCTGAACTTTTTTTGTGTTAAAGGAAAGTTACTGAACAGCCACAGTGGACTGGTTCATTCTGAATTCCTGGTACTGTTATGTTTCTGCACCCAGAATTAGATTGAAATCAAATCGGGATTCTTCATGATGCCAGAGTTTCTAAGCTTCCTTTTCCATCTTGAGGGCCGATGTTAAGGACGCTTCTCCATAGCAGGGATGGGATCCATAACCAAAATTCCGGACTTAATGTTCTCATCGATCTACTCCACGTTGCGTAATTAACTTCTGACAAAGGAGGAGAAACGAGCACGAGGTTAGGATTCTCCGTCACATGCAAGTACATAGGATCGTGAAGCTCATCCACGAGCTGAACAGGGCTGGAGTTCATCGGAATGCGATCGGATGACGTAGCTTGCTCGCCACCATTTTCATCACCGGTTTCAGTCTCCGCCGTGACTGCCGCGGCGTAGCTCCGGTAACGCTCTGATACCATGTTGAGAAACCTCAAGGACTAGAAGAAAAACAGTATGCATTCCATTGAAGAAGATGAAGAGAGTTTATGTGTTTACAGGCTGAAAGAAGAGATGAATGTATCAACTTGTCTACAGCTTACACATCATAGGCTATATAGACAAGCCGTTATAACTGCCAAGAGAAAAAAGAAAAGACTAATAAACCCTGACTTATTAAGCTAAGAAAGAAAGCAAAAGCAGAGAAGAGCTGAACTTGGACTGCTGCAAGCTGCAAGTTTGGTGCATTATTTGAGATGTTTGAGAGGATTGAAGATATGACTGAGCTGTGCATTACTTCATCATCTATTATATTCAAAAATTAATTTTAAATGTTTTATTATATGAAATAATATAACAATGAGCTAGCATGCATGGCTATTCTAGCTATAAACTAGATTGCAATCCCGGCGTTGCGCCTACATTCTTATTTTCAATTAATAGTATTGTTTTGTTTATTGATAATCATTTTATTGTTTTTACTTAACAATTTTTTTTATATTTTATTATCATAACGAAGTAGCTTGTAGTTGGTGGTGGTGGTGTTGAAAGTTTTTATTATTATTTTTGAGAAAACAAATTATACCCTTAAAAGGTCATTTTGCATGTAATCAACTAACAACTAATTTACCAAGTATCTTTTAACAACTAGCTAATATTATAAGCAGTCAAACCCACTAACCCAATTCGCTAACAACTATTTGCCAAACACCTCCTTTCTATCGTTTTTCAAACTTTTCAAAATAGCTCTAGGTGAGCTTGAATTTTGAAATAAGAGTTTTATAACAAACTAAACAAAGCTTGGAAACAAGTGTTGGTCCCGATACCAAAGGGCGAGAGTCTAGAGGAGGGGGGGGGGGGTGGATAGACTCTACGCGAAAATAAAACTTAACTCGAAAGTGTAGTGCACAGCGGAAAATAGTTTATCCTTTTTAAAGTTTCTTTGCACACGTTAATATTGAAAGTGTTTTCTTAGGGTTGATATAGATGCAATGCAATGCAGTTAAGTAAAGATAAATGACGAGAGCAAGAGAGAGATTTTTATAGTGGTTCGGCTATTAACGAAGCCTACTCCACTCTTCTTTCACAACTCGTGAAAGGGTTTGCACTATCACTCCTAGTACAAACTAAGCCAAGCTTGCTTCCTTGATCACTAAGCCGAATAACAACTTGCTAGGTTTTTCAACTCCTCCGAGTTTACTCTGCCTTTATCAACTTCTACAGAGTTCAGTGTTGGAAAAGGTTGATGGTATCTCCAACTTGAAATCTTGTCTTGACAATTCTTGGTCTTCGTATAAACTGTGCAAGATTTCTTGATGTTGTGAAGACTTTGAAAGCTATATGATCGATCTTTAAAAGAGTCTTCACAAACACACACTGGTTTTGAAAATAGCTTGTAGCTTGAGAGAGTTAAAAATCTTTTTGATAGCTATAGAGTGATAAAAATCAGCACATTCTTCAAGTGATGAAGAGGGGTATTTATAGGTGTGAGAAATCCATCCATTGAAGGAAGATGAGAATTCAAAACCTATTAACCAGTGTGTATTGTCCGCTGGGTAAGGAGACTTAATTGCGGTTGTACTGTATAGCCGTTGGCTTCAAAAAGTAACCAACCTTTTTGTCCTGTAGTGCAGACAAAACGTACCAATCATTAAATGCTCCTTGAAATTTGAAATCTCATTCCTAGGACACCATTTTTTCTAGGATGATTTTCCCAACTTTGAGACTTGGACATTTATGCTTCTGAAAAACAAATAAGACTTGTCCAATCGAGTCAGACTTTGACTCGTAGTCTCGAGTTCTGGTAACAAAAGATTGTCCTTATCATTCTTTATCTTCACAATTCAAATGATCTTTCTTTATCATTTGTCAATTACACAAGAGATAGAACGTTTTAGGTTTCGGTCTTAGCGGATCTCTCGACCTTCTCTTGATCTTCTCTTCTCTTCAACTTGTCTGACTGACTAAGAAAGATTCTAATTTGTGTAGATGTATAACTGAGCACGAATCAAACTCTAAGCAAAAACAACTTTCGTTCTACACAAAGGATACTAAACAACTAGAGTAAAAGAGGGGTCCAAATTCTTAGTTAGTTTGGTATCATCAAAATCTAATTACACATGTTCCTAAAAATTTCTCCCTTTTTGATGATGCAAAAACCTACACTCTCGCTATTAGGCTGAAATTATCCATGAAAGGATTTTCATTACAAAACAGCCAAATAGTTGAGTTTAGAAGAAAAGTCTAAGTAAATAAAATAACATAAGAACTCAACACAACCCACAAAAAAGATAGATTTCATTCATATTAGATTCATATTACAAAAAGACATCTATCTATTACATATTTTGAAGTTCTTCTCTCTGTCGAGCTTCTTTTCTTCGGGTTTCTTCTTCTTGAGCTATCTGAGCTTTGAGCAATTCAGATCAATTTCATCATTGATGATCTTCATGAAATCTCGTGGTAATTCGGCATACTGCTCTTATAAGTTATAACTCATATAGTTGTTGTATGCTTCGAGAATGTCTCGTCTAGGGATAATTCCATTGTTCCACCAACAAAACTAATTAAATGGCATTCATTCCTTCAACATAGCTTTTGCTTAATTTTTCAGGGATCATGAACACAACATTGTGCTTGGCAGCTAGATTAGCATCTTTACCAATGGCTTTCAAGTTCTTTATCTTCTTCTGTACTTCTTGGAAGTAAATAAGATCTTGTTTCTTCTTCTTCTTAATCTCTTCATCAACAAGACACTGCCTTTCATTCTCTTCCCTTATTTCTTTACTCATGGTTCTTTGATAATCTTGTCTAGTATGATTGTCTCTTCTCTTTAACCATGTAGGCATGCTACAACATTTGTTGATGGTTTTGAAATTCAAATGATTTAGCCTCTTCTGTCCATTCCCAACTAGCTTCATTCGAATTGTTTGCCATCAAGCATTCAAATTCCTTTGTTGTACTCCAATCTACAACATACATATTCTTCTTTCTTAATCCGGCAAGTACGACTTCATTCGTAGATTCATCTTTGACTTGACATCATTTGCCTTTGTAAAATTCTACAAGATATCCTTTGTCGCAAAATTGACTTGTACTGAACAAGTTGAACTTTAATCCTTCGACATAAGATACGTCTTCAATTCGTAGACCATTTTTCACAATTGTACCCGTTCCTTTTGTCATTCCATATCGATCGTTTCTTCCGAAAACTACTTTTGGTCCTTCGATACTTTTGAACTCAACTAGACTAGCTTTATTGCCGGTCATATGTCGAGAGCATCCGCTATCGAAATATCAAATTTCCTGCAAAAAAAAAATTAATTGTTTTTAGGTACCCAGACTTGTTTGGGTTCTTTTGTGTTAGTAATTTTTGGCATCCAAATCCACCTAGATCCCACTGATCCAAGAGTAGGTGATTTGTAACCATTAAAGACTCTATAATCATAATGCACTTGCGAATAATGCTTTGGTGCGGGTTGGGAATCAGATAGTTGCTTGATCCTATGAAAAAGAGCAAATCTGGACTTGGTCCATGGTTTGTCTTCAAGCGACCAATCTTGTTCTGAGGGATATAATCTCACTGCCCCAATTCTCAGAATTCTTCCCATAATTCCTATGAGGTTTTATTGCACTAGACTCGTTGGCTCTCCTTTGAGATACAAATTTTTGCCTTTTTAAATTTTGTTGCCTTTCCGAGATATTAATTTTTGGATTCGGCTTTGCAACATTTTTCTGGGCATTGATTCGATTTCCAACTCCTTGTCTCATTGTGCTATGCTGACTTTTCACAAATTTTACCGCTGGAACTTTATTAATTAAATTAGTAGTGGAATTAGTCAGCTTCACAGGGGTTTGAGAACATGATGGATTATAGCCCAATCCGGCCTTATCTCCAGCGGGTTTTTGCATACTTACCATCTTATCCATTATTTTGGATGAATGTATAAATGATGCGATTACTTCCCGAAGGTTATGTTCTCGAACCTCTCTAGCTTTGCACTCTTCTTGAAGTCGAATAATTTCGGCTTTCGAGTTCCTCAATTCAAGTAAAGCATTTTGCAATTTTTGTGCCATTTGTTCCTTTTCAAGGATTAGCAAATTATTGCACTCTTTGACTTGAGTATGAGTGGCCATGACTTCTTGACAATCTTTCATGAGACTTTGAAATGATCCTTGAGTCTGGAAAGAGGTGTCAACAGAACTAAAGGAACCAAAGGAACTAGAAGATACCTCTTCGTCGGTTTCACTCGCCATAAAGCATTCCTCATGTTCGGATGTCTTGCTTACTAAGCATAGTAGCGCTGTATCTTCTTGTGATGAATCACTCTCGTCACTAGATGATTCTTCGGATTCACTTGCTTCTAGTGGATCGCTTATTAGTGCATTCCGCTTGTCTTTTTTGAATTTCTTCTCTTTCGATTTGTATTCAACCTGCAGAGAGTTAGAAGTATTCTAATTTTTGTTCGCCTTGGGGTGTGGACATTCGGCCATAAAGTGTCAAGGCTTCATACAATTGTAACACACATTTGTGTTTTCTTCGGCAGATTTTCTTCTTGATATTCTATTCTCTCGAAACGAATTTCCTTGTGGCGATCCTTTGTTCTTTTGCATGAACTTCTTGAATTTCCTAACAAATAAGGAAAATTGTTCGTCAGATAAAAAATCATTATTTCCTACTGACCTTGATGTAGGATAGTTGTTCGGCCATCAGTGCGGATGTTCGTTCATCGCGTTCTTCTTCGACTCGTGTCTTCATTTCGAACTCATACGCCTTAAGATCACTAAAGAGTTTATCCGTAGATAATGTCCTTAGATCTCTGTGATCACGCATTGCAGTCACCTTCATATCCCAACTTGTAGGTAGTTCGCGTAACACTTTGAGCGATATTTCCTTCTGGGTAATGGTCTTTCCCAGATCCGTGATTTCTCCAAGGATTTTGATCAATCGAGCTTCCATGTCAGTGATGCTTTCGTTTGGTAG